GAACGTTACAGCTCTGATACCAAAAATGTAACACCTCCTCTAATTATATCAATATACTCAATAAAATATTAATTTAAAGTCTATACATATTTTTAATACTACTGCAAATAAGTCAAAATTTTCAAAACATTTCTAACATCACTTAACAACATAAACTATTAAAGTCTTATAGTCATGGCCAATAAAATATAACATAGCATGTGCTTGAGGAGCACGAAAGCCTTCACGGCTCACTCCATTGGTGCCTTCCCTTGATTCCTACTAGATCATTCGCCTGAAAAATTGTTAATATAGGGGATGAGCTCAAACGTCTCGTAACTACTGAAATTCTAACCTATACAAGCAAATCATATATGATAAACCAAAAATCTGTTTATATGTGTGTATATAAATATATAAAAATCACGGATTTGAGACATCCAATTCAATTTCATTTTTTTCAACAATATACCAATATCATTTTTCTAATATATCCAAAAAATAATGCAATATGCTACCTCCCTTATATCACGTCCACCCTTATACCGCTGACGGAGCCATAGGCTAACACATAGTCCGATAGGAACTAATCCATTTTACTGAATTTTCCAAGCTCACCGATACTAGAGATATATCCGGCCAAAGATATAGAGCTCAAGCTCGGACTATGGCTCCCCTCCTTTGTGAATAGGGAGGTGTCACATGTCCCACAGCTCCAATGAATTCCTGGCCAAAGGAAAACATGGAAGAAGGGGCCCTGACAAGTGCCATCCCACTGTGCACCGAGTGATGGCATACCACGTGGTAATTTCATATCCATGCAATCTCCTTCTATCCTTAGCCCAACAATGCATGTCATATGCCAATAATGTTACATCATAAATACGTCCTCAAATATTTTAAAGATAAGATAGCAATAAAACTTATATACCATTTAATAGCACTCATGACAAATCCTTAGCCATCAATATTTTTAAACATTGATCATATTAATAGCAATAAATCTTGACAAAATCAAATAACATATCAAAACATTTATTTAAATCATATACTATACTTTTCAGTATGAATATAAAAATCAGTAAATCCCAATATAATATCATACACAATTCACATGTACAAGAAAGAATTTTCAGAGTTACCTGGCACTCTTTAGCTTACAAAATTCACACAAAGATTACTCCAAAATTCTCAAGTCTACAAAATTGCACATAAATATTTATTAATATAAACTCAGAACTACTCCAAAACTACTCTAAAATTCTAAAGACTACCCTCTAAACCAAATTACATAAATATATTAACTCTCCCAATCTAGACATTTACAATAGATGTTATTTTGAAAATAATTTACATATAAGGCTATTTAAAGCTAACAAAAGTGTGTATATATATATATATATATATTTTAATTATAAACAAACTGTAGCTTTATTTAATTTCACAAAATTCTCAATTTATAATTTTTCAAGCATTCAAAAATTATTTCAAAAATATATATTTAACTTATTCAATATTTAAGCCGATTAAACATCAATAATATATTAAATAACTCAAATAAATTATTTAACTCAAATTTAATCGGTAAAAACATATTACAAGTCTAAATAACAAACTTTTCAACTAAAATCTTAGTTTAAAATTCTCAAATAATCATTAAACAAAATAAACCGATTAAAATTCCTTAATAATGGATCTTTAAATTTCTACGGTCATATATTGTCAAAACTCTATATTTACTCTATACCCAAACGTAAAATTTTCTCTAAACATTATAATGATACTAATAATATAAATTTCTAAATATATAGGAAATACTCATAAAGAAAATATGATAAAAAGAAGCATATTTATGTACCTAAATGATCCCCAAAACTTGCCAGGTGCTCTGCAACTTAGCTTTCTCTCTCTTTCCCTCTTTGCTTCTCACTCTCTTCTCTCTTCCTCTCCTCCGTCTCCTCTCCCCTCGACTTGAAAAAGATATGGGGTGAAGGTATTTAAACACACACCATGTTCAATTTTTTCCACCGCCCCTGCCCATTTTTCTACATCCATCTGCTCCTTCCCCATTCTTTTCCTTCGACCATTAATACCCCCCCCTCCTATTTTCCTTGTTTCATTAAATGGTGCCCAGCCTTTCCACCGAATTCGGTGGAAAGGTGGGTATTTTTTTTTTTTTATAATATAATAATATAATATTATTTAATTAATTGATTTTGATTTTGATTTTTTTTTATATATATATATTTTTAATAGTACGTTACAAGCTCCGGCGCCGGTGGTCGGATTCCGGTGAGGCAGTGGCTTTCCCTATTAAAAAAAAAAATTAAAGAGGGGTATTTTGGTAATTTGGCCATGATTTCATAATTACAATTTGAGACCGGGTCCCTCATAGTAATTTAGCATATTCAGGTGACCATAGAGTGATTTTGCTAATTCAAGGGTCTTTATTTGTGATTTCCCCATCCTTTTATAACATTATTAACCAAGCCTCCAAAGTCCAAACGACGTGTCGTGCATCCCGTACGCATGTCCCCTTTCGCGTGTGGATGGATTTGGGAGGTAAGAAGAATTTGGAAAATAATGACATATACGAACGTCTCATTTTCAGTTTAAAATTTTTTTTGGGGGGGGGGGGGAGTTGAGTGCCTCAATCAGTTTTTTTTAATTGCGCAATTCAATATTATACAGGACTTCACATGTTTTTTTGCCAATACAGCACTTTACACCTGAAAAAAATATAAAAGGTTGCCTTCTTGATAAATCCTCTTTTTTGGCGTCAAATTTTAGGAATGTGCTGACTTACACGTAATTATTACTCCCCATATATTCTTTTTTTTTCTTTAATTTATGTATTACATTTTTTACTTACTTTTTTTCAATAAAAGTATATTTAGAAAAACAAATATATACTTTATATATTTATTGTTTTAGATTGATTTTAACTAGTTTTTTTGAGAAATATAAACAGATAAAATTTAATTTATATTTTGAACAGGAAAAAGTAATGTATAAATGGAGCTTGTACTTAATTTGAATTTAACTCTTGAAAAAGAAATGCGAGAATTTTGGGAGCTCATCGGAAAATGTCGCCTTAATTTAAATAACTTAGATTAGAAGTTTGGCTCGACTTCACTTTCCCTCCATTTTGGCACTCGAGTTTAAAACATCGCACTCTTCCTCTTCGCCCGATTTAATGCACAGTGTGTTCGCTGATTGATCCTTATGAGCAACTGTGCCTATAAAACCTTCAATCTTTCTCCCTCCAATCACTTCAACCATTGCCGTTTGCGGGTAGCTGATATTCTACTCGATCGAGACGACGACGCCGCGCCCGCCGCCCCGGCGACGGTATAGGGCAACCCAACATGGATGGCGCGGGGGAAAAACGGCCAAAAAAACATGGTTCTGCAGCTAGTCGTCACTATTCGCCTTGCCGGATCGTTGACCGGTTGTTGGCGATTCTGAGACGAGCCAAGAAGCAGAGGGTTTCGCAACAGAGGCAGGAGATGCGTACAGAGCCGAGAGATTTCAAGGGTATGTCTTTGTCCACAAGCCGTTCGATGAATGGATCGAACTGCAACGAGGAATCAGGTGAGAAGCTAATTCTTTGCAATATGGTCCATCCCAATATTTGAGGGCTTATTCAATGGTTTAGTTGATAATATTGGTGAAGTGGTAGCATCAAGCTGTTTGTGCTGAGACATACAAATTGATCAAGCTGGTTCTGATTGGTGCTTGCGTTTTAACGTTGAAAGTAGTTGATGATAGATTCATTACTCTTTTTGCCGAACGATAGACTGATTCTCTCCCCAGCATTTCTTAATTAGTTGAACTTATATGGCTGCAATCGCATTAAAATATTTTATGAGAAGTTTGGTTACACCCCTCTCAAAATTACTTCGTTGGATGATATGATTCTTTCAATAGTCTACTTCGTTGGATGATATGATTCTTTCAATAGTCATCGCTTTCTAGGTTTACGTCTATTTTTTTAAGATATTATCATGGGGATCTTAAAAAAGTACCGAGCTTAAATACTTTATATCCCCCATTTGCGATGAAAACTGGCTCTGTTCCTTTCTCTCTGTCCCTATTACCACGCGCCCTCCTTTTCTTCCATTCTGTTTGCAAGATTTTTCCTGTTTTCATATTTAAACTTGATGTACTGCAGGACATTATAGAAATGATACATCTTTTAAGTTGGGAGTTACCTGGGGTTTGCTGTATATGATTGCAGCAAGTAAGAATGAGTTTAGCAAGATGGTTGAGTTGCGGAAAGAAATGGAAACGCTTCTCCGACGCACGGAAGAGGAACTCCCAAGGAAAGAGACAGTTTTCAAGCCATTTAAATCAAGTGACACACTTTCCTGTTCCATCACTCATACGCAAGACGTTTCAAGCTCTAATAGCCATATTTTTGTTCCGTCAGAACCAGTGCCAGAAAAAAATATGGTTCATAATCGTGTTCAAGAGTATAACTTAAGTAAACCAGATGAATGTGTGGAAGGAATACATGAACTTGAAGAAGAACTTAAAGTTGAGTTAAAAAGGCTGCAGCTTTGTTGGGATGAAGAAACTGCTTTTGAAGATGCACAAGAAAAAAGGGTCAAGGTAAATAATCTTATATGTTAGTTTATGATTACTTTGTTTCTTATATTCGACTGAGTACTGCATACGTGGATGAATAAACAAAAATCAGCATCATCTAATGACTTGTGGCTTTGAGAGGCGTATCAATCAGTTCTCGTAATATAACTATGAAAAACCATCCTGTGGTTAGTCCAATATAGCACGAGAAGCGACCCTTCATATTTTGTGCTGACATCTTTTTCTCTGATATTCCATACATCAGCTGCAAAAGCTCATTTTGCCACTCAGGCTTTGGCTGCTTTCCTGAATTTCTTTCATGTGAACGCTATCCCTATCCAAACCTGCTATTCATAAAGATTTCCGTAAAATAGATCAATTTTTTAATTAAAACAAAAGCCATTCCTTACCTCCCGCTGCGAGTCTGCCTGCGTTGGAATACCTGTAATTCCGTTGAATCAAGTATTACATTTCCCTTATTATTTTCATCATATTTGTGAGTTTATCAGCTGTTTTCTTTTTGACATTTCATTTGTTGTTGTCCCCTTGATGGGCGGACAAATGGTGGAGCAAAAGGTCAAATATTATCATTACCGGGAAACATGCTCTTGTTTTCCTAACTTTGACATTCATGCGAGGTCTTCGAATATTATGGAATTTGAAAATTGTTCTTCTCATTTGGAGAAAGGCACAATATGGGGGTGTTTGGCTATCATCCCAAACCATGGTTTGGAGAGACAGAGAGTGAGTCAAATAAGGAGAAATAATCCGAAACTATGGTTTTGGAGTCCAAAATTATGGTTTTAGGAGAAGTGAATTCATTTTGCTTCTGGCTTAAATTAAAGAGCATGATTGTGCCTGTCAGAGTAGATCTCAACAATAATATGACTTTAACACCTTTTAATTATTTTTTTACAAACATATTTAATCTTATATCTTATAAATATGTATATACATATTAATTATTTATTAATTATATTATCTTATGTATTGTTAATTATGTTGGTAAAAAATATATTATTAAAAATTTTATTTCTTTAAATTAAAATATATTATAAAATCTATATTTTATATAATTATCATATTAATTTATGCCTTTTTTAATAATTTGCATATATAAAAAGTGTTTTGATAACATCTATCCAAACATTCTCGTTTTATCAAAATTACTTTTTTATAAAATTTATTTTCACAAAATTTATTCTTTCAAAAATCTATTCTCCAGAAGTTATTTTTCAAACTATGATTTGGTTTTATCTAAACACTCCTGAAGCTTGACTGCTATGTCTTTTGATACCAAGAGGTGTTTATGTCAGAGTTTACTTTTGGTTCAAACTGATTATATCTGACATATTTTGCCAATCTGCCATGGGAGTTTATTCCTTTTCTTCTGTCAGCCTAGCATAGGTCCAGTAAAATGATATGCACGTTTTATTATATATCTGGGTTTGCTCTTTGTTGTTGGTCTTCAATTCTGTTCCAGAGTTGCTGAAAGTTGAACTGGCAGGTGGTACGTATGGATTCGAGCACAAGAAGCAACAGTACTAGTTATGGTGAAATAATTGACACTCAAGAAGCAAGCAATGATGTATCTTTCGGAGTTCATCCAATTGAACTAGAAAGAAGGCTGCATGAACTACTTGAAGCGAGGCTGCAAGAACAGATAACAGACCTGGAGTATGCTTTAGAATGTGCTAGGCAGAAGGTTATTGAGAAAGAAACAGAGGCAACTTGGTGGAAGGACACTGTGCGACTAATCTCACAGCATGTTCCTGAAACCTCTCGATTTACTTTTCGGCTTGATCCCGACGCTACATTTAAATTAAAAGCCGAGTTCTGAGCTTTAGGATAGTCTGAGAAAGTGATGTTGATCAAGTGAGATTGGGTATTTAGTTGTCTGCTGTTGAATGGCCTCCAATTTTTATTGAAGTTCTGATAGTCCGCTGAAGAAAATGGTGTGGAACGTGACCCGCAGAGGCTCTAGTGATGACAAATGAGACCAGTAATGGCCACAACGAAGGCTAAATGAATTTGCTATCCAATTTAGGTGTGCTACTCGAGATATCTCAAATGCCGTTGAATATTTCCTTTATAGCAGGTATTAATTCATGTGACCAAGCAGTGGAGTGAAATTGTTTTGGTGAAAATGTTCAAGTTGTTGTCCATGCTAGGTTCCCCGGAGAAAGCTGTGCAGTTTGATTTCGAGATGAACTCATTCTCTCAAATCTCGTTGACTTTGGCTCTTGCTCTAGCTATTTGTGAGAAGCTCTGGGCGGCCTAGTTATTTTTGATTCATTATCGGGTTCAGAGAAGATGATTGCATTGTGATTTTCTTCAACACTGAGATAATTGTTTTCATTTTCATGATATACTAATGGAAGCTTTGGATTCAGTTGTGATGGTTATTTCCTTGCTTCTTTTCTCACAAAGTGGGGCATGTTACATGCATTTTCTGATCTTACTCTCCAATCCCCCCCCCCCAAAAAGCAGAGGGGAATGGCTCAAGCCATAGACTACAACCAAAAAGACCAATAATTTGGGTTGATATACCCGTCAACTAAATCATTTCACTTGATAATTTCACACTAGTAGATTTTAACCCAATCGCATTTATATTATGAGCGTGATAACCGAGCCCGTCTGCTTAAGTGTATGGTTCTTTGACTATCTATCTCTCGTTGACGGGGTCTGTCTGTTTTTTTTTTTGGGGTCAAAATGGTCTTTTTAATGCTACTTAAGTTTCAAATTATTGGATACATGGAATCTTTCCGTATGCATCAACATGCATGTCCTGTAAGCGAATTAAACATTTTCATATTACACCATAACTAAAACAAAGGTTAACACCATTGGGGGGAAAAAAAAGCCATGCTCGTCAATCAAGGCCGTCGCTGGTAGCTTTTGTCAAATCTTTCTCAGCAAGCCTTGCGAAATTGTATTTATTCGTTGACAGAAAGTAAATTGACTGAATGAGACTTCCTTTGACGATCGTCATAGGCGCATTATTAATTATGTTTTTCAGAATTAAATGAATCTCTCATAAGTCATAACTTAACGAGGAAGTAGGCGGGAATCTCTCTGTCATTTTACTTTATTTGGTGAAACTGGGATTTCTCTTTTGGTTTGATTCCATTCCACGGCACTAAAGGTAGAATAACGATAACGACCGAACAGGGTTGGGATGAGCCCCACTCAACGGTACGATCTCAATTCCGCGTTGGCGGGACCCACCCGCTCGTCGGCCTTGCTTGTCCCAGTTGTCCTGCAAGGAAGCGAAGACAAGTGCCATCTGCCGCCGCACGCAAGCCTTCAAAGATTCTCCGGCGTGCGCAATACGCACCCACGTCTTTCCCACTTAGGGGCGAAGCAACACCATCCTTATATTAATCAATTCCATTTGGGTTGTCTGGGCTAGAATAACAAGAGAGTTTCATTGCATCGTCTGACTGACTATTTCGCTGCTCCAAGAGCTTCGTGAATCCTGATAAGAAGGTATTTGCTTCTCGTCCATAATTTGACCTCTTCTTTTTCAATTTTCAATATTATTTCAAATTGCAGACAAACAGATATTGTACGAGTGGTGCAGAATTGATCTTCATATGTTTGCTTTCCTGGTCCAGCCATGCTAGCACCACTCTCTTCACTCTTCTAATTTTTTCCGCTACCAAACATGGTTGCTCCTTCTTATTGAGACTTATTCTGTGTTTCCTTGCCTGGTAATCAACATGTGGTTTCGATTTCGAGTTATGGTTCTCATATTGGTGATTTCTGCTGGCAGACATAGAATGGCTCCTGCAGATTTAAATGTTGACTTGGGGAATGAGTACACGCTTGATTCAGTGAGGAAAGCTTTGATTAGACAAGAAGATACCATCATTTTCAGCCTCATAGAGAGAGCCAACTTTCCAGTCAATTCTCCCACTTACGATAAAAGTTACGCCTCTAGTTCTGATTCATTGGTGGAGTTCATTGTTAAGAATACAGAGTCCATTCAAGCTAAGGTAGTGATATATCCTTATTTCTCCTGGCCTTTCTATGGTTCCATGGCTAGTCTATTACCCTATCTTGTTTGGTCTGAGTTTGTCAAACTATGTGGTTTTTGTGTTAGCCACGTACGTTACGGAAGGTTGTAAGCAACGCCTAATAAATTCATAGGACATACTAAACTTTGATGCAAGTGTAAGTTCTCACTCCTGGGTTCCAATATGAGCAGTATTTTCAATCGGGTGCTATTTCTTAATAGGTTTTCAGTGAGTTATTTTCCAGTCCTTTTCAATAGGTTTCATGGTGATATGTGGACGTAATGGAATGCGACACAACACAATGGGCATAGTAAATATAAATCTATAGGAACCTGCAGTCTTTTGTTTGCTTGAAATTATGCTATTGCATTTGGTAGTGCATACAGTGATACTGGTATTTTACAGGCTGGTAGATACAAAAATCCAGAAGAAAATCCATTCTTCCCCGAAAATTTACTGTCCTCAGCCGCACCAAATTGCTCGTTCCCACAGGTAATTTACTTTAATTCCGGTATCCTTTTCATCTGTTCATTTTACTTGGAAGAGAAAATTTTTCTATGTTATCAATTCCATCTTTAGATTTTGCACCCTGCAGCTGCTTCGATTAACATAAACAAGTGCATTTGGAAAACATACTTCGATGAGCTGCTTCCAAAGTTTGTTGCCTCGGGTGATGATGGCAACTATGCACAAACCGCAGCTTGTGATCTTTCGTTGTTGCAGGTGAGGTTTTATTAGAAGTTGTTCTTTTATGAATTAGTTTTGTTGGATGAAGTTATGTAGAGCCATCTTTGTTTTCACCTACTATTTTGTTCTGTTGAAAAAATACTTCCAATCTGCTGATGCACTTTGATCTTAACTCTAAATTCTGAATCTCGCGAAAGCTTTCAAGTTTTAACGGTACCTGGAGTGGTATTGATCTTAAACACTACCTTCCATAAACAATCTGCAGGCCATCTCTAGGAGGATTCACTATGGAAAGTTTGTAGCTGAGGTGAAGTTCAGCGAATCTCCCCAAGACTACGAGCCTCTAATTCGTGCTCAGGTATAATGCTGAATCCGTAACCACTGCAGTGATTAGTGGATGAATAGTTTTCTATTTAACGTGCCATATCCTTTGGGAACAAGGAAGGGGGCCCCGTGAGCATCTTTCTTGTTTGCAAGCGGAAACAGTTTTCTATTTAACGCGCCTTATCCTTTGGGAATAAGGAGGGGGACTTGTGAGCATCGTTCTTATTTGCAAGTGAAAATATATACTGCCAGTTAGTCAGGCTTAGAAGACTGTGCAGCATACTAGAGGAGGCAAACCTAGTTTAATCTTATGGAGCATCACCCTGTACTTTTCTTAATTTTATTCTATTATCATTTTCCAAATGACCAAATATCATACTATTGTGGGTTCCGAATCCCCAGAAGCAAAAACATGCTGGACTAGTTTTCCAAGTGAAACAATGGAAGCTTGGTTTTTGCAGGACAGAGAAGGATTGATGAATCTGTTGACATTCCAGAGAGTGGAAGAGATGGTGAAAAAGAGGGTTGAAAAGAAGGCCAGGGTGTTTGGGCAGGAAGTGGCCCCGATCATGTTGAGAGCCAAGGAAAATACAAGGTCGATCCATCCGTGGTTTGTCTTCTGTACGAGAAATGGGTAATACCCCTAACCAAGCTTGTTCAGGTCGAATACCTCCTACGCCGCCTGGATTGAGCCGAATTCAATGCCTAATGCTCGAGGAAACGTATTTGATGCTGTTGTTGAAAACATCAGTCTGTTTACGACGAATTATTGTTTACTTCTTGTGATCTTTTAACTCATGGTTTTAAACTCATGAAACTAGCATTTCTAGCTCAAGTTTCAGACAAACTGCTTCACCTGATATGTAATCTGATAATGTTAGAAAAAATTATGTTCTCCCTAAAAACTCGTGAAAATTATGACAGGGCCCTTTTGTCTGCTTCCTTGTTTTATATACGGTTTTCTTCATAATTTTTTACAGTCTCTATATTTAATAATACACACACATGTATATTATAGGCATAATGTCACTGGGTTGGGACAGAATTTCTTTTATAATGTGTGTTTTACCCTTTTTCCCTTTTTAATGTGGTGAGGCATCAATAACATACATTCCTTCCCCGTAATGTGTGCTGGCGCGCTCACATATTGCATAAATACTTATTTTTCCACCTCCACTTTATTCTAACGTTAAATGAGCAAATTACTGTGCGTATCTATAGAAAAATTAGTTTTTACTATTACCAAAAAAATAACCCTGATGTCTGAAGAAAAATAAAAAGAGACACTCATAAGACTAAGTAAAATATAATTATTAGTAATGAATTTCTTTCTTAATTCGGGTGATGCATAAACGTATAATTTTTCTTCTCGAGGAATGTCCGTTGAAAGATTTTCTTTTTCAACCCATTGAAAGAGTGAAGCATTGGTAAGGAATAAAAATTATAAGTATACAGTAAACACGTGGTTTGCTTTGCCCATTGTCGTTGTGAATATTAAAGTCGTACAGGCAAATGATATTTTTCATAATATCTTTTAATTTGCACGCGAATTCGTATAATATAATATATATATTGATATCACTAATTATTTTTGTTTTCTATTACTTCATAAATAGTATATACATTTTCACTGATAAATCCTTACATTTGATCACCCAAAAAATTAGAACATGTCTATTCATTTACTATTGAATAATAAAATTAAAAGCAATTTGATACCTTATTAGTTGAAGTCATAAGGTGACTCACCCCTTATAAAGAATAAAACACAAACCTAATTAAATCGGAGTACTAGAGAGCGTATTTGTTAATAGAGTATAAACTTTAAATGTTCTTGTTTGATAAGGATTAGTCTGATATCCAATTTTATTTGGACATCCCTAAATTACAAAAACAAAACAATTTATAAAGTGTTTGGATGAAAACTAAATAATAATTTTAAAAGTAATTTTACAGCATACGAAATAAATACGTAAAAGAATTTGTTTTGATTTGTAAAAAAATAATTTTAAAAAATTATTTTTGGACACATCCAAAACACCCCCTTAACTGATTATTTATCCAAACGTATCCACCACTTTCACATTGTGTATGGCAAGCGTATGTGTTGGGGCAACCCTTTCACATTGTGTAGGGCAGGCGCAAGTTAGCCAACTTTTTACGCGTGGGTGTGTTTGGATTAGAGGTTAAAAAAATAGCTTATTTTTAATTGGATTTTTAAAAATTTCGAATCAGGTAAAAATTAGCTTATATAATGATTTATATTTGAACTGAATTTTATGAGTAAGTCAGCTTATTAAAATAGAAATTATTTGAATTGCTTCCTTAATCCTACTTTTTTCCCTTTGTTCTTCAGCTTTTGGCCCATAACTTAGATGGGCCAAAACTGATCCAAATATTCCAAAAGCTAAACATGTTTATGGGGTGCATAATTCACTTTCTAGCGTGGGAAGCGTCTACCCAAATGGGTTGCAGTTTAATTCGCGTTTTGTTTTAACCATTAAAAAAAGCTTTTTTTTAAATATATAGATGAAAAGAATTAGCTTATTTTGATTAATTTGTAATGTTAATTTGCTCAAATTTTAATTTTAATTTATCAAATTTCAAATTATAAAAATAATTTAAGTTTTTAATAAATTATAAGAACTAATATTTGAAAAAAAAAACTGAAAGGATTAAAACTATCGAGGAATCAAGGCCAAAAACAAATTTAAAGAATGAAAATTGTATTAACCCCCCACGTTAATTTAGGCATTCATTTCTGGTCTTCAGTACTCCTGCCACTGTCCTCTGTGAGAGTTCCGACTCCTCGAGTATTGTGCAAATTTCATATGTCGCCATTGGCTGAACTTCAAGGGCAAGCTCGACGCTCCACCGCTAAAAGAGGCTTCTCTCTTTGAGACGGTAACGACATCGACGCTGCGGCGGCGGCTTATTCGGTCGTTCCGCGAGGGTTGTTCTGTCGACGTCTCCGTCCATAGTTCGTTAGTTTCTTAACTGTTTAGTCTATGAAAAACCATTGCTTTTCCCTGTTTGGGCCTTATTCGTTAGTAAATGATAAACTGGGAAAAAAGACTAGTTTTTTCTTGTATTATGTTTCGGAGCCAGTATTTGAAAATATGTTAAGTAATTTTACTTTTAATTCAATCACATTTTGTAATGCTGTCCTTTTACCTCTAGTATGTTACCGGATTCGAGGTCTCTCTGGAACAATGCATGAAGCTTTTTTCTTGGTCCATCTTTGCAGGTCATATAACTACTTTTCTTTGATGCTCTGTGGCTAGAAGAACTAGTTTTCGTTGGAGATAAATTTTCAAGGCAAAGGATTTTGGCCGATAGTGGAGAGAGGAGTCATGGGCGTCGATGTTGGTTCTAGTAAGGGCAGCGGTAAGCATTCCAGCGTGGTTGATGATATGGAGGAGGACGATCAAGGCTTGTCAAATATAAGCGAGCTGGGGAAAGGAAACCTACAAAGTTTTTGTAAGAAGGCTACAATGTTATTCTTTGATGAGTACGGGCTGATCAGTCACCAGATCAACTCCTACAACGAGTTCGTCAGCTATGGTCTGCAGAATGTATTTGATTCATTTGGGGAGCTCAATGTTGACCCCGGGTTTGATCCCTCAAAGAAGGGTGATAACTGGCGATATGCTTCAGTAAGGTTTGGGAAGGTTACCCTTGATCGGCCCACGTTCTGGGGTGGTGAAGGAAACGTGAAAGAGTTCAAGATGCTTCCTAGGCATGCCCGCTTGCAGAGGATGACGTATTCATCGAAAATTAAAGTGGAGGTTCATGTTCAGGTAATTATAACTGACATTGTTTTGCCCAGAAGCAGTTAGTCTTGCATTTGGTTCCTTGTCAATGTTCTATCGGTAAGCTTTTGCTCAACTTATGTTGGAGGGATATCCTGGTTGTTGGTTGTTTGTTGATGATGAAAAAAAAAAAAGGAAAAAAAAACGCCTTTTATGTCTTCTGCCATCTATTCTAGAAGCTTACTACTGGAATGAAATTGTTGTTCATAAAATCAGAAGAGAATCATTTTCTTCTGCTTCTGGTTTTTCACTATTGCGTCTTTGATTCAAATGGCTGTTTAAGCGGTTGTATCTTGTTCGGTTTGATTAGCTAAACTTGAGAAAATTACATTTATGACTCTCTGGAGCTGAGTGAATGATTTGATAAATTATGTTTTTAAGCCATGTCTTCCTGGACGAGCTTTTTTTTAATGCATGTTCTGATAGTTTGAAATTTTGTGAAAAGTATATACCGATATATTTTGTGTTTGTATCAATTATAGGTATATATCCAAAAAGTGGTTAGAAGCGACAAATTTAAGACTGGAATAGAACAGTACGTTGATAAACAGTCTGTCATGGAGGACAGCAGGGAAATAACTGTTGGGCGATTGCCTGTCATGGTCAAGTCTGATATATGCTGGATGAAAGGAGCTGACAAAGGGGATTGTGATCATGATCTTGGAGGTTACTTTCTGATCAAAGGTGCAGAGAAGGTTAGCTGAATTCATGATGTACATTTAGTCCTGGTTACAATTGTTTAGACTGATAATTGATGGGAAGAAATTCAATTCTTTTAAGTTTCTACTTTGTCGTATGATGAGGAGAAATATTTCATAAGGAATTCTGCATTAATGCATCTTGAGATGGTTTGAAAAATTTCCAAAGATCCTCTCCTGTGCTGTTCAGGAAACAAAGCATTTTTTTTGGTTAAATTTTAAAGGAAGAAAAACATATGATAAAGACAGTGTTCCAACTTCCATGTTTGTGTGCATGTGGGTGGGTGGTTGAGATGCTGTCCTGCTTACTCAGCGGAGGATCTTTATCTGTTTGAAACATGTCAACTCGTCATGTCAGTACCTGAATTTCTTTATCAGAACCATCCAATACCGGTGCATATTTAATATGGATATGGCTTCCCGAAGCTACTAATGGTGCTTTATAGTAATAATTAGCTTCAATTCATCCATTCTATGGCAGAATTTATTTGGTTTCCTTTACACTTTCCTTATCTGTTCATTTGTTTTAATTTTCAGTCTTTAATATTTCTTTCCTATAACTTTCTTTGTTACTGCTAATAGCACATATTTTATGTAAACCCGTTTCAGACATTTATAGCACAAGAGCAAATCTTTCTAAAGAGGCTTTGGATTATAAACAATCCATGGGCAGTTTCATACAGGTCAATGACAAAAAGGAATAGGCTAGTCATCAAGCTGGTGGGGAATCCCCGAAGTGAAGATATCAAAGGCGGAGAGAAGGTGCTTACAGTATACTTTTTGACAGTCGAGATTCCTGTATGGATTCTATTTTTTGCCTTTGGTGTCTCATCAGACAGAGAGGTTATAGAGCTCATTGATTATGGTCATGATGAAGCCAATGTTCAAAATATTCTCTTTGCATCCATTCGTGATGCCGATGAAAGTTGTGAAGGCTTTCGGCGAGAGAATGTAGCCCGTAGTCACATAGAAGGACTTGTAAAACGCACCCAATTTCCACCTACAGAATCTATTGAAGAGTGTCTGACTGCGTATGCGTTTCCCAACATTAAAGGCATGAATAGAAAGGCACGCTTCCTTGCATATATGGTCAAGTGTCTATTACTTGCTTATACTGGCCGCCGAAAATGTGATAACAGGGATGATTTCAGAAACAAGCGGCTTGACTTGGCTGGTGAATTGCTTGACCGGGAGCTGAGAGTGCATATTGCTCATGCTCGGAAGCGTTTGGCAAAGGTTTTGCAGAGAGACCTTTATGGGGATCGTGATGTTCGTCCAATTGAACACTATCTTGATGCATCCATAATTACAAATGGTCTTCAAAGAGCATTCTCAACTGGAGCGTGGTGTCATCCTTATAAGAGGACTGAAAGGATATCTGGTGTGGTAGCAAATCTTGGCCGAACAAATCCATTGCAGACCATGGCTGAAATGAGAAGAACCAGGCAGCAGGTTCAGTACA